TAACGGGTGCCTGATTCTGACAAAGGCCATGGGGATATAGCATAGTGTTTGGGGCTGAGAGCCTAATGGTTGAGGGTGAGACCTCTAGGATCTCTGCAGGCCGCTGTGGCAGCCACTGGCCATGTGTGGCTCTTGGTACTTGAAATGTGCTCGTCCACATTGAGGTGTGCTGCACATGTACAGTGCACACCAGATTTTGAAGACTTAGTACAAATAAAAGGATGTACAATATCCCATTAATAATTTTTTAAATGGATTACATGTTGAAATGATAATATTTTGGATATATTGTGTTAAATAAGATATTACCATTAATTTCTCTTGTTTCTTTTTACTCTTAATGTGACTACTAGGAAATTCCTAATTACCTACCTGACTGGCGTTATATTCCTATTGGGCATTGCTACTGTGGACCTGAGTTCAGAGTCTGCCTTCTCCTCCCGTCAGCCATGTGTACTTGAGCAGTTTACACGACCTCTTTGAACCTGAGTTGCCCCATCTGGGAGAGAAGGGCAATAATAATTCCTCGCAGGGTTATAATTGGGTTTTAACAGGAAAATACATACAAAGCCCTAGTGCGTACTTGGCACACAGTAAGCGGTCAGTAAACGGTGGCTGCTGTTTGTTTCATGAGCTCCCTGAGGGTCCTTACGGAGCCTCTTGAGACAGCCCGTAGGAGTTAACTCCAGTGACTTCTGGGAGGAGGGGGAGGGAGGATGGGGGAGTGCATGGGGTGGCCAGCCTGGACAGTGTCCAGCCAGGCAGCAGCCCACGTACCAGCCTGCTCCATCCCAGGCTTGCCCAGCCCTGGGGAGACCTGAGCCAGACTTTCCCTCGGCTGGGTCTCTGACCAGCACCAGGAGAAAAGAGCCAGAGGGAAAGCCTGACTCAGGGCACTGCAGGGGGGTGTTGGAGAAGCAGCCTCCACTTTAGCGTACGTCCCCCTCCTGGATCCCACCCCGCCCCTCCTGGATCCCACCCCGCCGGGCTCTAGGGAAGGGCCTTCCCACTGAGAGACAAGAAGCACAAGATAAGGGCCGGAGTAGCTCCTTTCTTGCCGATGGAGGGGCCCAACATTCCTCAGCCCGCACAGACCTGGGGGAGGGCCTGCAGGGTGAAGTGAAGCCGCATCAGGGCTTAGGGCAGGGGTCAGTGGCAACCAAGCCCTTCATACCTCCCCTTGGGTGAGGAGAGGCTGCCTGAGGCCTAGAGCTCTGGACACTGGCCCGTGGTCCAAGCTCCTGGTCACTTCCCAGGCTGCCCTAAGGACAGTTCCCCCATGCTGCCCAGTCACCTGTCACCCCCAGGCAGGGCCAGCTCTCACCATCCTCGCTTCCTTGAAGAGCTGGCACCTGACCCAAGCCTGTGTCTCCAGGGTCGCATGGAACAGGCTGAGCTGCCTCCCGGAGCAGCCACGGTTCCTTACTCCCAATCTTCCCCCTGCCCCTCCACCAGAACGCCAGGGCTCCTTCCCGTACCCGCCATCCCCTTCTCCCCACCCTGTTTTGGGGCTGGTCTCCCTGGTAGGGCAGCAGGGCACCATTCTTATTTGCATAAACAAGAGCCCTTGGCTGGGGCTGGGCTGGAGGAAGGGCAGTCTTGGGACATGGGGGTCACTTCTGTTGTTCCCCTAGCCGCCTTGGTGGTCTTCCTGCTCCTCCAGCCCACCCCTTCTGGGGCCCAGAGCTGGCTGGCCTCTGGGAAGCAGCTTGGCTGTTTTCTATAGGGCCCATCACCATGGCACCTGCCAGGGAGGGGCTGGGCCCAATGGGGCATTGGCCCCCAGCCGCCCTCCCTGAGGAGGAGCAGGGAGTGGCCCTGGACCTGCTCCCCAGAGACGGTCACCAGGATTAGAGTATCGACTTTCCCCAGCTTTCCAGGTGGCTGCTGGTGGTGCCGGTGCCTATTGAATTCCGTGCCCGCTGTCCGCTCCCTGGGCTGTGTGGGTGGAGGTGACCTGGGGTGGGGCTGGGCTCCTTGGGGGAGAGGAGGGATGGAGGGAGGCAGCCACGGCAGGCCTGTGACAGCCTGAAAACCCGAGGGTGGGAGAAGGCCCCATGAAGAGAATCTGGAGGCAGCTCTCCGGGCAGAGTCTTTTCTGGAAAACGGGTCTGATGTTGTCTGGAAGTTAGAGACTGAGACCCATCCAGCCCCCAGCCGCCCCAGCCCATTTGCACTGCCTATTGGCCACCATTGCCCAATGTTCCTTCCTCTCACTTCCAGGTCTCTGCCAGTCTCCTCACTGAGCAGATCTTGATTTTTACTTCCAAGCTGTCTTCATCACTGGGAGTCCTACCTGAGGCTCTGAACACTCTGGGGCCACGTTCCCCTTGAAGTCGTCCCCCACCCTCCACCCCCAGCTCTGAAGCTGGCACCATGGCACGAGGCAGCTCCTGGGGGCCACACATGAGGCCCAAGATGGCCCTGACTTTCCATTTACCCCTTTTCCCCAGAGGCAGAACCCTGGCCCTGCCCCAGCTCTGGGAGTGCAGGCCCAGGAGCAATGGTGGCCAAGCAGCAGCCAGGTGCCTGGCCTCACCATCTTCTCTTCTCAGTGCTGGGCCAGGGCCCCAGGGAGGTTGTCTCCAGGGACTCCTCCTGCCAGCACCAGGCTCCACCCAGGCTGGGATGGGCTGACTCAGCAGCTGGCAATGACTCCTCCTGGAGACAGCTGGGGGAGGAGTGGAGAGAAACACGGCTGGTCTCCCTGGAAGAATGGGAAACCCTTGCCCCTTCCTGCCCCTTCCTGCCCCTTCCCGTGGGAAAGGAGGGAGCCTCCAGGGACTTGGGAAGGAGGGAGCTAGATGGGGCTCTAGGTGTCTGAACACTTAGGAGAACTACCTGGGGCTTTCTGTCCCCCTGGCCAGCCACCCCCAGGGGGCAGTGGAGCAGGTGCCAGGGCAGGGGGAGGGAGTGGCAGGGGCCTGCATCCTCAGGCTGGGGCCCCCATTTCCCCCAATCCTCATGGCTTGGTGCTGGCAGAGGAGAGCGAGGTCCAAAGCAGGCCTTCTAGCTTTGATGACAGGTGACCAGGCAAGAGGTCCTGGGGTGAAATGTGCTGAGGATCAGTAAGGGAAGCCCACAGCACAGAGCTCCTGGCCCAAAGGTGAGCATCACGGGGGCAGCTAGCGCAGCCCTGCCAGCCAGGGGAGGACCTGGAGCCGCCAGGCGCCCCCCAGCCCAGTTCCAGCCACAAACCCAGCCCAGGCCTGCTCACTGCCACGTCGCCTATCCCAAGCTCAGGCCGTAGGTCTGGCTGCAAGTAGCCTTCAGCACCGGAAGGAAGGCTGTGGTTTCATCAGCTCCCAGCCACTTCTCCGCAGAGACTGCAGCCACTACGGGGAGAGCAACCCCAGTGTTTGTGACTCCTGTCGAGGAGCTCCAAGTGGGCCTTGTCCCAGTCTGGACTTGGGTCCTTAAGGGCCAGCCCACGGACGGTGGAAAGGACAAGGGTTCCAAGTCAGAGACCCAGTTGGAAATCTGGCTTCTCCACTGTAAAGCTGTGTGAAATCAGGCAGTGGGCTTAACATTGCAAGTCTCAGTTTCCCCATCTTGAAAACGGGGGTGACCAGCCCCAGGCAAGTTGCTGTGCGAAGGCTCTTTGGAGTGAGGGGAGGCGGGAAGCAGCGGAGATATCGGAGCTGCCCTCACCCTTCCCCGTGATTCACCCTCCCCACTTTCTCAGGGTGACCGCAGAGCTCAGCCGGGCTGGGGCAGAAAGCTGAGCCTGCCCTGGTGGTGGCAACTGGTCAGACCTGTTCCTGCTCACCTCGGCCCCCTGGAGGGAGGGATGGGCTGGCAGCTTTGTGGAGGGATTAGCTGGCGGGCAGAGGAGCCTCACTTACTCCCGGAACAAGATCCTGGAGGGCTGCGGGCTGTGGGAGGGGCAGCATCGGCATCAGCGGGCGGGCCTGCTGCCAGTGGGCTGCGTAGTGAGGAACAGGAGGGGGTGAGGAGAACTTGGGAGAAGTAGGTGCTTCACAGCCCCCGGGGAGAGGGTGCCTCTGTGGGCCTGCCACTTTTTTATGCTCGCTTCGCTGTCATTTGGGATGAGAGAAACCTGCTGAAGGAAGAAGGGGAGAAAGGCCAGGGGCCTTTAGCCCAGATTATGGTGAGCGCAGGCCCAACCATCACCCTCCTTCCTGTCTCGGCCTCTCCACAACCCCACCAACATCCTGAAACATAGAAGGACCCGCCCAGGCACTTAAGGGAAGGCACAGTCACGCCCCCGCCACCCCCCTGAGAGCAGAGGGTGGGGACTGAGTCTCGCCGCAGATGGCAGCTGTCTCCTGGGGCTGGCAAGTTGAGGCAGAGACCTGTAAGATCTCCTTGCCTTCCCCACCCATCCCTTGCCTTCCCTACTCCCAGCTGGGGATTGAGGTTTCAGAGCAGCCTGGCACCCCACCCCCACCCCCCAGAATCTCACTCAGCTTCATGCAACTCTTCATTAGTATTAGCAACCGTGGGACAGTCTACATGTGCACAGGGATTGTACATTTGTAGTGTTTCCATGTATGTTAATTATCTCACTCAGCCTCACAGTGACCCTGGGAGGCAGGCAGCACACTAAGAATGGTCTGTAAATGAGGAACCCGGAGCTCTGAGAGGGAAATTACTACCCCAGGTCACAGAGCCAGTAAGCAGGGAAGCTGGAACTTGGGTCAGGGCCGTGATCCCAGCCATTGCTCATTGCCTGGCGTCCCGGGTGATAACCCAGAGCTAGCAGGCTGGCCGCTGAGGCCCTGCCCCTGGCCTGGGAGGAAGTGGGCAGGAAACCCGACTCAGTCCTTGGGCTCAGGCTTCTGGCTGAGGTTTCGGTTACTGGGCCCACTGACACCCTTCTCCCCTCCATCATGTAAACGTGTCCTAGGGCTGCAGCTTCTAAACTAAGCTGCTTAAGTTGGACCAAAGATGGTGAAAACCGTTTTCAGCTGAGTGAATGCTCAAGAGTAAGCTGCCTGTGCCCTTTCAATAGGCCACCCTCTCCGGCCATGGCCGCAGCCTCGCTGGGCTCCCTTCAGCCCAGCCCTGCTTTTCTGGGCCTCTCCCCTTTCAGGCTCCTTGCGGACCCACAAGGGTTCTGTTGCTGCCTTTGCCCTCGGCTGGACCAGCCTTGGTTCTGCCGGTCAGTGTCCTTGTCCTGTCCAGGACCCCTGGCTGTGCTGCCCCCAGCTCCCTTTTGGTGAGGATGAGATGGGAGCCATGTGGGTGAGGAAAGGCTTTACTGTAAACATGTGACCAGCTTTCAGTAAACACCTGCCCCCGGCTCCCCTGCTGCAGAGAACGGCGTACAAAGGGGGTCCCTAGTCACATGTTGCAGATACCCAGACACCACCCCCCAGAGGGCCAGACTGAGCCATAAGCGGGGAGGGATGAGGCAGCAATCAAAATAACATGATCAACCTTAGGAAGTCACAAAGGGAAGGGACTCAAGAGCTCATCTGGTCCATCCCTCATTTGCCAGAAGAGGAAAGTGAGGCTTGGACAGGGGCAGTGTTCTGCCCGGGGTCACCAAGGCAGTTTCCTGCAGTGCCGGGTCTCCGTGCAGGTCTCCTGAGTCCCAGGCCAGCATTCTCGCACACTGCTGTGGAGACTCTAAGCAAACTTGCATTATTCCTAAATCTTCCTTGGTGGAGAGGTGGGCTCAGGCACAGGGCAAGGAGGGCAGGACCCAGGATGATGTGGAATTGCCATGGACCCTCCTTTATCCCCACAGCGCGAGCTTCGGCCTCGGCTCTGCACCATGAAGAAGGGCGCCAATGGCTATGGCTTCAACCTGCACAGCGACAAGTCCAAGCCAGGCCAGTTCATCCGGGCAGTAGACCCTGACTCACCCGCCGAGGCTTCAGGGCTCCGGGCCCAGGACCGCATCGTGGAGGTAATGCCTCTCGCCTCTTCCCAGGCTCTTCCTTCCTGACTACCTCCCTACAGATAAGCAACTCTTGGGGCAGCCGTCACACCATCTGCTCCTTGGTTAGCCCATGGGGCCCAGGCAGCACATAGATGCAGGATAGATGGATGGATGGGGGGTAGGGGGAAGAATGGGGGTGGGTGGGCAGGAGAGAAGGAAAGAAAGATGGGTGACGGATGGATGGACCGACTGACTTCTTTCCTGTCCCCACCTCCCCCTGGGCTCTTCTTCACCGAGCACACCCACTCAGCGGCCCGTGATTCACCCATCCATCCAGGTAGAGGTCTGGGCCACCCTCAGGTTTCCCACTGCCTGAGGCCTCCATGTCAGGCACAGGAATAGGGGCCGGAGGGTGAACTCCTTCTCTGGAGTGAGGCTGTCAGGCGCACTCATACACTCTTGTGCTGTGCTTAGCAGGAGAGGAAACAACGTGAATCCAAATGCCTTGGGCAGGTCCCAGAATCTCAGTCTTAAAACCTTAGAGCTGGAAGATCAGCTCTCCCAAGACTTCTCATTTTACATGTGAACAAACTAAGGCCCAGAGAGGAAAGTCGGATGGCAAGTCCGTAGAGAAGCCAGGTCCCAGCCCGGGCCTCCAAGATCTTTCTCTCCTGTCTGTCACAGCTGGGTTTGTTTAGTCTTGTCAGATATTTTCTTAGGCTTTTCCTATGTGTCCTGCCTCCCCTGGCTGTCAAGTAGGAGGACCACTTGGCCTAGTTCAGGACCCTACAGGCAAGGGGGCTGAGTGTCCCCAGATTGCCAACTGGTCAAGGACAAAGAGGACCCCTTGTACCTCCTCCTCCTAACCCCCACCCTGAGACCTGTGCCAGTAACATCTGCCCCCACCCACAGGTGAACGGGGTCTGCGTGGAGGGCAAGCAGCATGGGGATGTGGTGTCTGCCATCAAGGCTGGTGGGGATGAGACCAAGCTGCTGGTGGTGGACAAGGAGACTGACGAGTTCTTCAAGAAATGCAAAGTGATCCCATCTCAGGAGCACCTGAATGGTGAGCTGAGTGGGGCAGCAGGAGGTCCCCAAGTCCGAGGTGTGGGCCAGGGCTCTAGGCTTGACTGTGTCCCAGGTGAGGGTGGACAGCTTCCTCCTTGAAGTTCCCTTCTTCTCCTTCAGGGGAGGCCCAGAGGTGTGTACTGGGAGAGAGGGGCCTATGTCAGGAGAGGAAGCAGGGATTGGCAGTGGTCCCTGAAGATGGCATATGCCAGGGATGAGCTGGCATGAGGGATGGCGGGATAGGACAGAGCTGCTGATGCCCCGGGCAAAGCTGCAGCGCCAGAGGAAGGCCTGGGCCCCACGCTCCACCCGCAGCGAGTCCTCAGGGCAGGGCTGATGCGAGGAGAGGGTTAACTCTGGGGAGGCCTCCAGCCTTTGCTTGGTCTGATCAGAGTCCAGTGACAGAGGCCCAGTGCCTCCCCTCCCTTCTCTTAGGTTGTCTTGGAAACCCAGGCTTGCTGGTTCTAGAGAGTGGTGGGTACCCCCTCAGTCCCTGGGCTCCTGCCCTCCCCAACCTCCACCATGGCCCTGCCAAGCCTGGCACCTCCCCCTGCCCGAGCCAAAGCCAAACAGGGCAGGGCTGCTACACCGGTCAGGGGCAAGTTAAGTGCTCTGCTGTCTGGTCTGGACTTGCTCCCTAGGAATATGGCTCCTGGGGGCATGGAGGAGGGGTGTAACCTCTTCGGACTTTGCAATGGGTGGGGCCTCCCTGAGAGTGTCAGGTAGGGTGGGGGGGGGCGGGGTCCACACAAAGGTCCTGCCACAGACTTAGATCCCTAGCTGGAGGGGCCTGTTGGGTCCCATAGTTCTTGGAAAGATGGTGGGTCAGTGGAAATCCCTAGCAGACTCTGGGCATGGGAGGTGGGCATCACCTTACCCTTGTCTCCCCAGTTCACAGAAACCAGATAACTCAGATAATCTCCTTCCTCAGTGAGGGGGAAACTGAGGCCCAGAGAAGCCCCAGCCTTGCTTTTGGGGACATGGTGTGGGGGAAGACTCAGCTGAAATCTGGATTCCACTCAGCTCCTCAAATACCTTCCCCTGCCTCCCCCAGATCCTTCTCTCCCCACCCCAAGTAATCAGCCCTCAAACATCTCTCCCTCTTCTGTCTCCCTCTGGCTGGGGAAGAAGAGCCCTGAGAACTACAGTGACGGCAGCCTCTGGGCAGAGGACCTGCACAGGGAGGGGCTAGGGGCAGGTCTCATCCCCAGGTGTTCCTCTCGGGTTCTCCAGGATGGTGTCCTCTCCCCATTCCTCCCACCTGGATGTAACTATCCCCACAGAGGAAGGCTCTTCCCTCCCAGCGGCTGCCTCCTGACCAGTGAGACAGCCTGGCGCTCATGGGGAAGGGGCCGGCTTGGGGAGAGTGGGCGAGTGAGCATCCCTGTGCCCCAACCTGACCACTGTGGTAAGGCTGTGGGTGTCAAAAGGGCGGAAACAGTGAGAGTCAGGTATGCCTGACTGCCCCAGCCCGGTCCAGGGCAAGGGGAAAGATGCTCATTGATGTTAAGCTCAGAGTTCAGAAGAAACCCACCCAGGCTCACCAGTCCCTGGAGGTGGAACAGCCCTCCTTGCAGTGATGTGGGGCCTCTATGCTATGTGAGTCCAGTGAGGGTGACCCCAGGCTGGTGTTCTCTTCCTCTGACCCCTCCTGCCACCACCAGGTTTTCCATTGGCTGGGGGAGGGCACACCCAGGACACTGCCCTGAACCCTCTTGCGCCCTCATCTCCGCATTGGCAAGTGGCCGAGGCAGGTACTAACCATAATCTGGGTGTGGTTCCAATTCTGATGACACCATCATCACCTAGGAAGCATTTAAAGAATGCTGATTCCTAGACCTGCCCCAGACCCACTGAATCAGCAGCTCTGGTGCCAAGGTCCAGGAATCTGTATTTCTAACAAGCTTCTTTGGTGATTCTTAGGCAGCCAGCCTAGAATTTCAACTCCATCTAGGACAATGCTTTTTTCAAACAGCTCAGTACTCATCAGTGGTTCATGAGATTAATTTAGTAGGCAGAGACCAGTCTGTTTTGTTAAGTGAAATTGAATAGAAAATATCAAAGAGCATTGCAATGTAGTAAGGATGAGTTTTGGGGGATGTAGTAAGGGTAGTTTGTTTTGTGAGACTTGTGTTACACACACACACAATCTTTGTGTCACTGGGCATCAAATGTACTTAGAGTGGGTTGCAGTCAAGAGACTTTTAAGCACTAACCTAGGGAACAAGATCGAATTATCTGTCCAAATCCCACAACTCTCACCTCTCCATCCGCATTCCCCTGTGCTTCTGGACTCACCTCCGCTCTTTTTTCCTCCACCTAGGTCCCTTGCCCGAGCCCTTTACCAATGGGGAGATCCGGAAGGTAAAGGCAGACCCTCTGCTTCTCTGGTCTCAGTCCAGGGGCTGCAGGAGAAGGGTGGAAGGTGGCATGGTTGGGAAAAGGAGAGCTGTCTGACTCAGGTTGAAACTTCGATTTCCAAGCTGCTCCCTCTTGAGCTCCAAGCTCTGTAACTGTCAGTGTACCCCTCGGCCCCTGCCTAGGGCCAAGGCATTTGGGAGGGAGAGGCCTGGTTGGGCCCCTCTGCAGCCCGCCATCCTGGGTGACAAGCCCCGCCTCCAACTCACCACCATACAGAAGAGGCTATTCTTCCCCCCAAGAACAGAGCTTCAGTGTCTGGCCGCGCTGCCCAGCCCCTGCTACTTCCAGTCTGTGTTGGAAGAACAAAGCCCCTCCCCCCTCCTCCCCGGGCGGAAGGGAAGAGAAGGCAATGGAGGCTGGGGAAAAGATGGTGGGGCTGGGTGCCAGCTGAGGCCACAGAGGAGCCCAGGCAGGAGCTGAACGCCAAGCTGAATCCCTGGCCAAGGCCTTCACTCTGGGATGGGCCGACTCAGAGTCGGACCACGGAGTGGGAGTTCTCTGCAGGGTCTGCTCAAAGGTTCCCCTTCCCCAGGGGCTCTGCTAGGGCACACAACAAGGGGGGCAGCCCCGGACCACCTGAAGCTTCTGTCACTCAACCTATGGGTCTAGAACTCTCATCCACCTTATTCCTTCAAAGCCCTTCTTGGCTGCTTTGGGGTTAAGGTTTCAAGATCTCTGGGGTCAAGTCCAAGTAAACACGTGGGCCACAAGAGGTTCAGGGAGCATCCCATGTGTTCCTTATGCCAAGCAAAGAGGCCCCCGGTGTCCCCACACTCCAGAAGCCCCTTCTTGGTCACTGGCCCAAAAGGCGAGTCAGCCCTGAAGGCTACACAGGGAGGACTTGGGGGGAGTGAGCAATTCAGCTAATCCCACAATGGTCCCTCCCACCTAGGTGGTGTAACCAGCCTGCCCTCTGATCTCTGGAGGAATGTAAAACTGTAAATCCCCCAAGGGACCCTGGCAGGCTCAGGCCGTGGAGCTTTGGGTGGATGGCAGGGGCCTGAGTGGAACTTCTCAGACCAATGCACCTGTCTTCCCTGGGAATCCTCTTCCTTACTCAGGACTTCCCCACCCCATCCCTCGCCAACCCACACCTCTCTCCTCTGTGCCAGGAGAACAGTCGTGAAGCCCTAGCCGAGATGGCGTCTGAGAGCCCCAGGCCAGCCCTGGCAAGATCCACCTCCAGTGATACCAGTGAGGAGGTAGGCTGGCCGGCTGGGTGGGGTGGGGGGTGGGCCTGGGTTACAGGAAGCCCATTCCCAGACCACACTTGTTCCTGGCACACCAGCCAGCCTTGGAGGTCACATGCTGAGCCACGTTCTGTTCTTGTGACCTGGCTTCCCCGGGCGCTGCCCCAAGGGAGCCACCTCGCTGAGGCTCAGGGCCTGGGAGCCTCACCAGGCACTAACTCCCGCTCTCTGCCTCCCCCTCCTCTTTACAGCTGAATTCCCAAGACAGCCCCAAGAAACGGGACTCCACGGCACCCTCATCTACCTCCTCCTCCTCCTCTGACCCCATCCTGGACTTCAACATCTCCCTGGCCGTGGCCAAAGAGAGGGCCCACCAGAAGCGCAGCAGCAAACGGGCCCCGCAGATGGACTGGAGCAAGAAAAACGAACTCTTCAGCAACCTCTGAGCGCCTCTCCCACCAATCCCCCAGGAAAGCTGGAAGGGCCGGCCAGTCCCACACCCCGACCTAACTCCCTTCCCCTCTTCCCCACTTACCCCCAAATCGACAAACAAATCAGCACCAGCATCTCCCATCTTTGCAAATCTGATTTTTCTAGAGAACTGTGTTCTTCCCTTATTGCAGGGAAGGTGAATGGTTTTCCGTCCTGCCCCAATCAAAAAGCAGACTCTGTCCCCCTCCCCCTCACTGAACGCTTCAGACTACCAGGTGTCCCCTTGCTACCCCACCTGGGACATCACTGGGACCTGCACCAAGCAAGGATCGTGGGACCTGCAAGAGGTCATCTTCCCTCACGACACGAGATGACTGGGTCCAGGGTTGATCAAGGACTTGATTATAGCGATGACATCTCGGAGTAGATGGGGGTGCATCATCCTGAGAGCTGTGGCTTGGGCATCTTACTTTTGTTCATTTGATTTTTTTTTGTTTTTTTAAGTGCAGTATCACAGAGTTTAGAAGGATTTTTGTTTCCTTGATTAACATGATTTTCTGGGTTGTTGCATCTAGGACATAGCAGCAGCCTCAGCCTTAAACTTTGTTTCTTCTCCCACCTTAGAGACCCTGGCACCATGGGGAGGGTTTGACCATGCCCTGCCCAGCCCAGCCTTGAGCCAAGCACCACCATTGTAAGGAAGCTCCATCAGAAATCCAACTGGTTTCTCCAACCCACCTCAGCCTCTGTGTCTTCCTTTAGAGCTCTGTCTTCTAGAAATGACAAACAGGTATTCCCAGGGTGGCCTCAGGCTGAGAGGGCAGGGTACAGCTGGAAGGAGAGGATGGTGGGGGTGGGAGGTAGGTAGCTTTAACCAGGCCTCAAGCCTGTCACTGCCCAGGTGTCCAGGCTGTGAGTCCTGTGGGAGCAAGACCCACCCAGCTCCCATGTACTTCACTTGGTGGTCAACATGCCTGGGCACACTGGGGCTGCCCTACAGGGATGTTTTTCGGGGAAAGTGGGGAGTGGGGGCTGAGACCCACATGCTCAGAGGGCTCTGAGAGGTTCCTCTAACTCCAGGAGCATTGAAAGTGTGAATCCCAGATGGAGCTGGATTAGGAATGCAGAGACTTGGCTTTAATCTTTCTGCCTGCAGGTGCAGGATTCCCAGGAGTGGCCTGAGCTGGCGCCAGATACTCTATCTTATCTGGCCATGTACCTGATTGGAGGGCAGTTGTCCAGGCCTAGGGGAAAACAAACCTGGCCAGCTGGGCCCTGGGACATACCATGTGGGGTAGAAGCGACCTTCCACGGGCAAAATGCCCTGCTCCTCCACAAGAGATCCGTATACCCCTGGCACCTCAGGCCTCATCCTGGAGGTCTGCCAGGGTGGCCTGCAAGGGCTGAGGCTGCTGGGCTGGGAGGTTCCAGGGCAGGTGCTCAGAGAGAAGGAAGGGAAGTTGGCCCCAGGCTACTCTCCACTCAACCAGGAGACCACTCAGAAGCCAGGTTTCTGGGACTGAGGAGAACAAGTAAAGAGAGAGAGTGAGCCATGGAGGGGAGCTGTGGAACCCTCTGGCGTTGAGAGAAGGAGCGGTCACTATCGGACCATCTTGGCCCCTTGTTGGAGTTTGGATTCCACCAGCCTTAAGAGGAACCATCCAAAATCCTTATCCTGGCACCAATCACCCTGGGCCCTGCTTGGCTGCACCTGGCCTGCCCCCACCCACCCTTGCCTCTGCCCTTTGAACCCTGATGGAGGGCTGCCACAGGTGATCAGGCCTGAACGCTGCCCTACGGGGCTGTAGAGGGGCGCCTCCCTATATCACCTGCTGGGTGGGGAAGCCCTAGGACCTTTGACTCTGGTTAAGCTGACGACAGGTGGAAGGAACAGGTGACTCAGAGGGAACTCCTATGGCTGAGGGGCCAGAGGCATCATACAAAGGGGGCCCCAGCAAGCGAAGTTCGTGTCTTCAATTCAGGCACGTTTTAGATTCTAGTTTTTCACATACATAGTCTGGTGTGAGATGCCAGGATCGAGGGGACTGGGAGCTGAGTGGCCTCAGCAATAGTTCCAGTGTCATCGTGAGCTCTGAAGCCTTGGGCAAGTCGCCTCAACTTGCCTGGGACTGTTTCCTTCCCTCGAAAATGCCCTACGTGCCCTCAAGAGTTTTTCATGACTGTGTTTTGAAATGTGCCTGGCCTTTCTTGAGGGCCACCCTAGATTATGACAGTGCACATGGGATGGTTAGAAGTCAAAAGGTGGGCCGGCCCCGTGGCTTAGCGGTTGAGTGCTCGCGCTCCGCTGCTGGTGGCCAGGGTTCGGATCCCGGGCAGGCACCGACGCACCGCTTCTCCTGCCATGCTGAGGCCGTGTCCCACATACAGCAACTAGAAGGATGTGCAGCTATGACATACAACAATCTACTGGGGCTTTGGGTGAAAATAAAAAGTCAAAAGGTGTCCTCCTCCGAGGTGGGGAGACCTAGCCTAGCTCTATTAAGCACCCGTTGCCAGGCAGCCTGGCCATCCCGAACCTGTGCCGCCAGCGCCCCCTCGTGGCCTTGTTAGGTGCAGCTGCTCCCAGAGGTGGAGGGGTGAGGAGTGGAGAGGGGGAGGACACAGGTGCCTTCGGGACAGTACAGCTGAGTGGCCTTTGCTTCCTCCCGCAGCCCCTGCAACTGAGCAGGAGGCCCGAAGTTTCATCAGCAGAAGGGTGCTCTCCAGTCATAAAGAGTTGTATCCCAAACTAACTCGACACTCAAAACTGGCTCCAAAGACAAGAGAGAAGGAGCAAGGACACTTGCCCACTTTCCAAGCCACTTGTCTGTCCCAGGATTTCCAAACCTCCCGAGGTCACACCCAGCCCGCTTCCGCAGGACAAAAGAGGACTGAGCTACCCCTGCCCCGTTCCTACCACAACGGACCAGATACTGCAGGCTGACCTCCTGGGAGCTCACTTCCACATGGGCCCAGTGAGAACACAGGGAAAGCTGGCCATACAGTGTGCTTTACTCCCGGCCTCTGGCCTTCCGGGGGGAAGGGAGGTCCCACCCGCTCAGCAGGCTCCCCTTCTTCTCCAGCTCCCACTTCCACCCTACCTCCTCCCATAGATTCATGCTGTCCACTCCAGGTTCCGAGAGCCTGAGTCCAGGTTTGGTCAGGAGGAGGGGCTGGCCCTGGAGTCGCTGCCAGCCTCAGAGAGGCCAAGGCAAGTTCAGCCCAGAGTCTGAAAGGCCCCAAAAGGAGATTCCCAGCCTGGAGCAGGGCCAGGAGCACTCTGCCCTGAAGGCCCTGTCCATTCACCTCCTGTTGCAGGGTTCTGATGTTCTGGAGTGTGTGGTCCTGACACCCCCGTTCACACAGGGTGGCTGCCCACAAGGCCGGCTGTCAGTGGGGCTCCAACCACCGATCTCTGTAGGGCTTCTCTTCCACATGGCTGGTCTGCTGCAGAAGCCACTGCTGCTCCGGCTCACTCATCATCAGTCTGAATGTCACCTCCTGGAAGACGGTGCTCACAGCCAGCTACGTGAGTCAGAGAGAATAGGGCTGGTTAAGTTACATCCACAAGTTCGGGCACCACCGGGTCCCACCACCCAGACCCAGGCCTCACCCTCCCTCAGTGACAGCCTTACCTGCTCGAAGTGAAGTTTTTGGAACATCCGGATGCTCGGTTCATTTCCTTGCCCAATTTTAGCCTCAAACTTGTTCAGACCTAGCCTGGTCACACCTCCCAGAGGAGATGAGATAGAGGGACAAGCTGCAGGATGAAGCCCCCGCCCCAGCACTCCCTGCCCCTCCTGTCACAGTTTGCAGTAGAGGCATCTGTCACCTGCCCCCCACCCTTAGGCCCGAAGAAGGTTCACTCCTCACATGCCCTAGCCTTCACCTGGGGCCTGGCCACTTCTCCCCCACGTTGTCTGCTCGGACTTCCTTACCATAAGACAGCATCATGAGAACAGCCTCAGTGCCAAAGCCCTTGCCCCTGCAGCTGGGCTCTAGGAGAAACAACAACAATCACTGACACCGTGCGCCAGAGTCCAGCACAGGCACTTGCCAGATACAATCTCACTGAATCCTCACAACTCTAGTTCATAAATATTATCATCATTCTGCAGATGAGGAGACAGGCACAGAGAAATTAAATGACTTCTCATTTAACACCCAAAGTCTCACAGCTTGGAGATACCCAGCAACCTGACCCCAAAGCTGAGCCTTTAACCTCACTGTGCTGCCTCATGAGGACAGTCACATAGCCTCCTAGGAGAAGGCTGGGGACCAAGAAGACACGGAAACTGGAGGGGGTTCTCCCACAGCATGGGAAGATGCTCTGGGGAAGATCATTTATTTTTGGAGGGTCCCCAGCCCATCCCAAGGATGGGCCAGACTGAAGTTTGAAGACCTAAAACCAAAGGTTAAATTCCCACCTAAGCATAAGAAGGGAATAAAGTGAACCACTAGGCTAACAGGGTATCAAGCGGCAGTCTGCCCCAGCCAGGTGCTGGGCTTACCAACGCCGGAGCCTCCCAATGAGCTCTCTGAGCAGATCCGAGGGCCAGAAGGTGGGGAAGGCAGGGCCAGGTGGAACGAACCTGCAATCATGACCTCAATCTCCCCCAAGGAGGGGTCCCCAGGATCCGTGAGGAAGAGGTTCACATCTCCCACCATGCAGCTCTCTTCTGTGGCGCCTGTCTGGGCCTGCCACTTCTCTGCATCCAGCACAATAAAGGTACACTCTAAGGAGGGAGGCGACAGGATTATCACCTATATTCCCCAAAGAAGTGCAGTGAGGACAGTCTTCCTACCCAAGCCAGAGAACTCCCATCATCTCTGAGCCTGGCAGGAGCAAAGGCGGGCCAGAGCTTCTCTCAGCTGACTACAAACCCCTAAGTCTGCCTCGTGCAGGAAACGAGGGCTTTCTCCAAACAGCAGCTGTATTTGCAGAGAGTGAGGGACCCAAAGAAGAACAGTAACCTCACTGGGCTTGCGGAAAGGGACATGAGAGGCAGGGTCTCAATTTACAGCCAGCGCCCAAAATGCTTTACTTCCTCTAAATCCTTCCAAGCCTGGTGCAGTGAGTGGGGAAGAGGACAGAAGCATCAGCCACAGAGACCAGCTTCAGTGGGCATCAGAGTATAAGGGTTTCGGGCACCTTCCAGGCTTTTCACGAAGTGCCTTTCACAAAGTTTCTGTGGCCCCAGAAAGGCTACAGCTGGGAAGGAGAAAGGGAGGGAACCTGCAGACTGCCTCTGGAGTCAGCCCTCCCACTACCAGCCCGGCCTGGGGCCCCCGCTTCTCACTGTCTGCATCTTCCCGCCAGCTGTGCTGCATCGCATATTCCTGCTCCAGGGTCAGCGGCTCAGAGGCTGTCAGACGCTGCAGCTCCTCTGATTTCATCCACTCGTGGTATCTGCAAGGCCAGAAAGATAGCCTTCGGCATGCAGGATCCATTCAGAAGCATGGTTCTGACACTTCATGCGATGAAGAAATGGAGAGTAGAAAGGAAAACCCCACAGAGCTAACACAGGGCTCACAGAAGAGCCAAAGGGTTACAACTGCTCCTAAGGCAAAGGGCCATAGGTAGAAGACCTAGAGCCAGGCTAGTCCTACAAGAGAACAGCTGGAATCAGTTCTATCTGTCCAGCGTCCCTGTCTCAGGGGTCTGTGCAGGGAAGCAGTCTGAAGCTAAACATTCCTCAAATTCCTGAGGGGAAGTATATGGCAAGCCGACTTCAACAAAGAAGGCTGGACAGATTTCCACAAAGGCCAAGCACCAGGAACCCCCCAAATGAAAAACTACAAATAGAGAATACACCCCTATACCACCACCATCTCAATCTACCAGACATTTGCCAACTGCCCCCATAAGAGTCCCACCCTGTGACTCAGTGCTGGCCTTTCAAAACAATAGACATCAGAACAGCTCAGTTTTATAACAAGCTAACGTTTACTCTCCAAGAATTGAGCATATTCAATGGCACCAATTTACAATTAGATGAAAAGACAATATCTTTTTTTCTTACACACATTTAGTTTACATACAATAATTCCTTACTGAAAGGCCAAAAAGGAAGCTGAGAGGGGGAAAGGGAAAATCAGGGGGATGGGTGACTTCCTCCAGGAAAACCATAGTCCTCTGCTTCAGTTTTCACTTTTTTCTGTATGTAATTACTTCTCACACCAATGTTTCTCCCTCTCAGAGGAGACAACCTCTGAGATTTGGGCTAAAGAAGGCTGACCCTCCTCGCTGCGCCTTGGACAGCTGGCTTGCACCCCATGACACGTGTAACGGTTACCTAGGCACATGCTCTGAGGTGTAGGGCACCAGCACCACCTTCTTCCCCAGCAGCAAGATGTTCTGATTTAACCTCATGGTAGCAGCCTGCGGGTGGGGAGGGCAAAGACTTCCGGAACCTGAGTTTCCTCCCACTTAGGGGGGAGCCGGCCTCTCAATTCACTAAATGCCTCCTGGGGCTAAATTGTCGGAAGAGCCTCCGTCCTTCTTTCCTTCCAAACTCTTCAGAGAACGCGGACCCTAAACCCCTTGCAAAAACGGGAACCGGGCTGGTTAAAGATAATTAAACAATCCTTCATTCGCATCTTAAGAAGCCAAGCCGGGGCTGCCATTTCTGCCTGTGCCTTCCGCCCCACCTCCCAGAACTTCGATACCGCAAACCCAAGCACCAAGACCTATCCCCAAAGCTCCCACCACTTGCTCCAGTCCTGAGACTCCGCCCCAGGATCAACTTTCAGCCCTGCCTTGAACCTATTTCCAACCCCTGCGACTACCCCACCGGGCTCCGGCCCGCCCTCTTCCCGCCGCCGAGCCAGATCTCCCACACAACTTTAGGGTGAGGCAGGCTTAAATTCTCAATCCCCTCCCCTTTGTGTGGAGCTACCGGCTACTCTCCTCGAAACCCTCTGCCAGCCACCGAGGTCCTAGAATGACGAAGTTTACATCCACTCCCCGCCGACGAAAGCGTCGCCAGAAGGTCCCAACCAGCCCGGCTTCCCTACCTGCCAGACAGCCGCCCCTCCCACACGCCCGTGTGACCGCACTCCGCCCACTTCCGCCACGCAGACGGCAGCCACCAGGGCCCAATCCCGGTTCCGTCTCCGCGAGGCGCCCAATCAGCGCGCGACGCCCCGCCCAAGGCGCGTGCGGAAAAGGTGGGCTCCCGGCTCAGGCGCATGCGCGCTGTGGGCGCTGGTGTGGGACTGCTGGTGCTGGTGGCAGCCGAGGGGCCGGAGGCAGAGGCCGTGGCGGCCCGGAGCGAGCTGCGCTGCAGGTGTCGGGCTGGGCGGGAAGGTGGGATGGGCTGGGGCGGAACCAGACTCGGGGTTCCTCCAAGAGGGAGGAACAAGTCGGGGGTAGGCTCGGAGCGGGACTTTTGAGAAGAGGGGAAGGCTTGAGGGTGGGGAGCCCTAAGGCAGGGCAGAAGGCATATTGGGGGACGGGGAGTGGAGGCCCCGTTAAAAAGGAGAGGCTTTGGGGCAAGGAGTTGGGTTGGGAGGCCATCTAGGAAAGCCCCCAGCCCCTTGCCCCAGGCGGAGGAGGCAGTTACTTGGGCTGCACTGTGTGGTAGTCAGCTCGCAGTTCTTCGCATTAAATGGGCGTAGCCACCGCTGAGTGTTTAAAGGGGGTGCTTCTGGTGGGCGAGTCTGAGCGGCATTGAACACATTCATGCCCTGCACAGCAAGGAAAAGGTTAGGAAAAACCATCCAGGTGTCAGTCATCCAGGGAGACCCTTCCCTTTGGGCTGTCTTGTGACAGCTGTTGAGGCCATAAGTGTCTGTGATACAAGGACGGGGCTGGGGGGTGGGGGGGTCCATCAGAAAGTTGAAGTCTACTCTTTTGCCTTAGGGAGCTGCAGCAGCCGCCGCCGCCCCCGCACAAGAGGAACCTCGGCTGCCCACCGACCCTTCCTCACTTTTGGAAATGGCGGGCGAAATCACAGAGACCGGGGAGCTCTACTCTCCCTACGTGAGTTTTACTTTTAGAACCTGTTTTGCCCACGTCAGTGCCCCTGGCTTCTAAAGAAGCACACTGCTTCCTATGGAGTGTCGTGTGAGTGCCGCTGCTTGCTTAGCCCCTGGTGAAAGCCAGGGTGGAGGAACTCGATTCAGCAGCAGCCATGTTGCTGCTGTCCTGGCTCAGAACATATTATGAGAGTCAGGTTAGTTCACTTTTTAGATATTGATCAGAGAGTGGTCAAGAAAACGAAACTGACTTGCTAACTCTTTATAATATTTATCTCAGGGCTACTACCACTTGCAAACTGTGCAGCAGTTCAGATGGGTGGTGATTGACAGCTGTTGACTCTGGATTTTGCTCATCTCTGCAGTTTGAAAACCACTTTGGTTTTCAGCTGAATTTTAAGTTGCACAACTTTTATAGTCTTGGGTGGCGTAAGAGGCAGAGAAATCATGCAGACCTCCAATTGCGGTTTGGTGGAGTCTGTAATTAGAATAATTAGAATGATTGATTTCTCCCTGTCTTGGGTCTGCGTTACCCACACACACACACATACACAAATCCCTACATACACATACACTCAGTTTATCTTCTTTGTGTAATATAAGATTGGTCATGGTTACGTCATGGAATCCTCTTGCCTGGATAAGTAGCTGGAGGATTGGAATAATCAAATGATTGACTCACATTGCTATCCAGTATCCTGGAGAAAAGCAGCACTGCCTTAAGTAGTAGGAGTCCTCTTTCTAGAACTTACCTAACCTCAAACAGCTGCCCTGCTTCGCACTGACCTTCCTAGCCTGAGGAATCCCTGCTCTGTTTCTGCTAGCTTCACAGACTCCAGAGCTGTGGTCTGGTGGATAAGGAAGCATCTGAGAACAGCTGAAAAAAGCCTTCCTCACACCAGGGTCTTTCTGCTGGGTCTATGCCATTCATGTTTAGCACCAGAGGAGCCTCCTTCACCTCAGTAATTTATCAGGAGAAGTCTTTCTTGAACCTTGGAATGAGTCCAGTTGTGTCCCTCTCATCTGAGGAATTGTGTGACAGCTCACAGCCTTCTCTTGTTATCAGCAATGAAATGTCCACACTGTCCATAAAAGTCACCACGGTTCCTGCTGCTTCTCACAACATCTGTAAACCTAAAGATGAGTCATTTCTATAAGTGAGTTTGGGGAAGGAAAAACCTTTGATATGCGCACTTTTCTTGTGTCTCCAGTTGTTCAAGTAATCATTTCACAGGCCAGTATGTGCCCACAGGAAATTGGGCAGTGAGGCATAAAAGCTTCAGCTGGTTCTGCCTTTTTTTTTCCCCTCCATTTTCTATGTGTTTGATTTTGTTTGAGGTCTCTGTTTGAGGGCCTACTCTGGACATTTGCTGTAAACAACTGCATGTATTCTTATACCCTTCCGGTGAAGAGGGGAGTAGGGCAGAGATGGGTGGTGTTGAGGATGAGGTGGCATTGCCAGGAGTTAGTAGTCAGGTTTTGAGGAGAGAACACGCCTTCTTCCTCAGGTTTCCTTAGCTCTGCCATCCTGGGAGAATAGTCCTTGATCCCCTGAGACCAGGAGAAGGGTGTAAGGGTCATCATCCCCTGAGCCCAGAGAGGCTGTGGAACTGACTCTGCTGTAGAGGCTGCTTTGAAACCCCCTGCTCTGCGCAGTGTGGGCAGAACCTGCTCTGGCTGCCCTGAATTCATCAATGTGTCCATAACCTGGTCATTTCCAACACAAAGCCTCTCCCTACCCCTATGTTGCCTTGTGGTGAGTTCTTTTCCCCTTCCTAGGTGTCAGGGATGTTTGCTTTAGCTTGCATTATTCTGCATAAAATATTTGTAATGGGTAGATGAGCTTCTCAGGGGACTCAGATGACAGACTCTCTCAAGGATAGTGCTGGACACAGGAACATGATTCAGGCCTGTATGTCCCCCCATAAGTGATCTTAGAACAGACATGTCTGTTTCCCCATTTACGGGGACCAGGAGTAGCTCAGGACTGAAGGTACCATGTGACCAAAACAAGGATGAGGTGGATCACCGCCTACAAGAGTCAGCTGCCGAGGCCACTTCCTGCCACCTGGTCTTGCCGAGGATCGTCACTGTTGCTTTCAAGGGAAAGGCGCTTGTTTCACAGTCTGAAATCCTAGTCATTGGTTCTGCATCTCTGCTGCCTTCTGCTTCCTTTGACAACTGTCAGGGGAAGCTGTTGAAAGATGCCCATGACCCCTGCCTCGTGCAAGTCTGTGGGTGAGGCCGCCAGGCAGGAGGTCAGGCCGCCGTGTCGCTGCGCTGAACTCCCTAGAGCGTAGGGCGTGGGTCAGCTGTCCCAAGCAACAGGGACTGTGCCTTCTGCAGTTCAGCCACGGAGGAAGAGTCGGGGATGGGAGGAGACTCCGTATGGCCTGCAGTGGCCACAGCATGCATAGGTCTTCTTTACTGAGACTGCAGTAGGACGTTGTTCCTCAGCTTTCGGCCACACTTCCCAGGAGGCTGTCCCCACAGAACTGTCATGTAAGCAGAAGAGAATGTCTCCTTCCTCTTCCTCCTGCCCCACAACTGCCTTTGACTGGCCTGTGTTCCTCTTCCTCCTGCCCCACAACTGCCTTTGACTGGCCTGTGGCTCAGCTCAGATTTGCTTCCTCCCTCCATAGTCTGCTTCTTATCATTGGTCCTTACTGGTCACGTCTACTGTAGGTCAAGAGGATTTAACTCTTGCCGGGAAGGAGAAGAAGTCCTACATCATCCTGTAGGATTCCCTGAGTCCCATCTGGCACAGAGTGCTTGCTTCGTAACTAAAAACTGGCAACAATGCAAGACAAATGGGATTACCCATTTCTGTTCCCAACTGCCAACAGTTTATCCCTCATTAACTTCTTTGTAAAGTTTTTAAGGGGCCGTTTGCACTGAGGTTTATTTGAAGTTTCTGTTGGGAGCGTGCTTATTTCACTGTCTTTCAGTGGTTCTCAGCTAGTGGCAGTCTTGCTCCCCAGGGGACACTGGGCAATATCTAGAGACTTTTGTGATCGTCACGACACAGGGGCAAGGTGGGAGGTACTGGCATCGAGTGGGTAGAGGGCAGGGATGCTGCTGAACATCCTGCCATGCACAGGACAGGCCCCACAACAGAGAACGATCCAGCCCCAAGTGTCAGTAGTGCCGAGGCTGAGGAACCCTGCTCTACGATAGACCCTTGACCTTTACATCCCAAGACCTTCAGGTGTCCCTGAATTTACAAATGCCTCTTTTACCATTTAATTTCCCCATAAGACTTCTGGCTAAGAACCATCACTTTCTTAGGACTCTTTCCTTTCTCTTTACTTCCATCATGAGAACCATCACCAGGGCCATTTTCCCTAAGGAAAAAAGACTCTACTCTCCGTAAGTGTTGCTGCTTATAAAAGCTATACGCAGAGAGTGAAGCTGCAAAGGGATCAGATGTTAGGTCACTGACTGCGGCCAGGTCTCTTAGTGCCCTGCTTAAAACCCTGCGAAACATCGAACTCCCTGTCACGTCCACGGGGGTCCTGTGCAGGCTAACACAGCCTCGTCTAGCCCTGGCTGCCTGACTTGCTGTGCTTCAGCCACACCATCCTCAGAGCTCCTCGAACATACCTCCCTCCTTCCCACCTTAGGCCTTCCTCCCTGGAAGTCTCTTCCATGGCCCTGTGCCTGGGCGGCTCTTTCTGATCCTTCAGGTCCCAGCTTGAATGTCACCATGAGGCCTTCCTGAGTCCCCCTCATTTAAAGTGCGTCCTCTTTGTTCTTTGTCACCGTGCCCTGGTTCTTTCAGAACGCTTCTGTGAGGTGGTCATCACTGTTTGTTCTCTTGTTGTCTCTCTCCTCCTGCATGAGGTCAAGGGCCATGTCTGTCTTACTCACCGTCGTATCCCCAGCTCCCAGCACAGGGCCAGGCCCATGGAAGGCTCTCGGTAGTTGTTGAATAAATGAGTGAATGAGCAGAACTGAGCTAGCTAAATGACCCATTCCCACACTTGGATATACTACCCTCAGAGTGCCAGTGATTGAAATTAACCCCCATGAAAGTAAAAATTAGTTTGTTACAGACATTTGCAATCACTTATGAAAAGCCAACGCTGGGAACTTCCAATTCAGAAGGCCGGTGATGGGCTGTGTGCCCTGTTCCCCACCGAGCTGTCACACACTTATTCTCGCAACACCACCCTGGGCCAGGACTCCCAGCAGGGGAATCACATCACGGCAGTGTTATGATCCAATCAAGAGCTATAGGAAGACGATTCTAACTTGTTCTAATCCTTCTGGGATTTGTCTATGGGATCAAATTGAGATTGTGATATTTAAAACGGGGTGAAGACTGTCAGACTTGCGTCAGAGAGAACCTGAGCCAGCTCCGTTGAGGATTTCTATCTTGAGGCTCCGTGCCAGGTACCCTGAGAAATGCAGAGAGAAGTGAGACACAGGCCACAGCCACAGCCACCACGAGTGTCAGACTTAGTAAAGGGGAAAAGATAAATACACCAACGTCGAAAACTCAGACTAGGGCATGAGGAGTGTTCTTGCTACAGGGGTTCAAAAGTGGGGAGTAGGGCCAGCCCAGTGGCATAGCAGTTAAGTTCGCACACTCCGCTTTGGCGGCCCAGGGTTCACAGGTTCAGATCCCGGGCCCGGACCGACGCACCACTTGTCAAGCCATGCTGTGGCGTCGTCCCTTATAAGGTAGAGGAAGATAGGCACCGATGTTAGCCCAGGGCCAGTCTGCCTCAGCAAAAAGGAGGATTGGCAATGGATGTTAGCTCAGGCCTAGTCTTCCTCAAAAAAAAAATTGTGGGGAGTGAGACTAATTTGGGAGACTGGGCAGGGCTTTGTGGTGGAAGCAGCTTTTGAATGGGCCCCAAATGCTGGGTGGGAATTGAGGGCTTGGTGCCCGTGCCAAGTGTAAATGGACTGTGGGCAGGGCTCTTTCCTCTCCACAGGGCACCCTCCCATTTGTCCAGCATTCAGCTGTCCAGTCAACACCTGCCGGAGCCGGGCCCTCCTAACCACTGCCAGCCCCTCCTTCCTCCCTGTCAAGGGCCCCAAAATGGTAGTTGATGCTCCCTATCTCTTTTTTTTGTGTGTGTGAGGAAGATCAGCCCTGAGCTAACATCTGCCAATCTTCCTCTTTTTGCTGAGGAAGACTGGCCCTGGGCTAACATCCATGCCCATCTTCCTCCACTTTATATGGGACGCTGCCACAGCATGGCCTGCCAAGCGGTGCGTCGGTGCGCACCCGGGATCTGAACCGGCGAATCCTGGGCCGCCGCAGCAGAGCGTGCGCGCTCAACCGCTTGCGCCGCCGGGCCGGCCCCGCTCCCTATCTCTTTTTTAAAAAAAAAAAATCGACAGAGGCTGAGAGAGTGGGCCCCAATTTGTGTGTTTCTGATAAAGAGTTCAGGACATGGATAGTTTAGAAAAATTTTAAAATATCAAAAAGTGCTTCTTTTTTTTTTTTTTTTTTTTTTAAAGATTTTATTTATTCAGTTCTTTACCCCCAAAGCCCCAGTAGACAGTTGTATGTCATAGGTTCACATCCTTCTAGTTGCTGTACGTGGGACTCGGCCTCGCGTTGGACGGAGAAGTGGTGCCTCGGGGCGCTCCCGGGATCCGAACCCGGGCCGCCAGCATCAGAGTGCGCGCACTTAACCGCCAAGCCACGGAGCCGGCCCAGAAGTGCTTCTTTCTAAGAATGGGGAAGTAAAAATGAGAAATCAGGGGCCGGCCCCGTGGCTTAGCGGTTAAGTGCGCGTGCTCCGCTGCTGGCGGCCCGGGTTCGGATCCCGGGCGCACACCGACGCACCGCTTCTCCGGCCATGCTGAGGCCGCGTCCCACATACAGCAACTAGAAGGATGTGCAGCTGTGACATACAACTATCTACTGGGGCTTTGGGGGAAAAAAATAAATAAATAAAATTAAAAAAAAAAAATGAGTAGGTGCTCCCAGAGACGTGGTGTTTGTTGTTGTTTTTATTTATTTATTTATTTTTGTGTGTGTGTGAGGAAGATCAGCCCTGAGCTAACATCCGATGCCAATCCTCCTCTTTTTTGCTGAGGAAGATTGGCCCTGAGCTAACATCCGTGCCCATCCTCCTCCACTTCATATGGGACGCTGCCACAGCATGGCCTGACAAGCAGTGCGTCAGTGTTCGCCCAGGACCCGAACCCGCGAACCCGGGGCTGCTGCAGCAGAGCGTGCGCACTTAGCCGCTTGCACCACCAGGCCGGCCCCTGTTGTTGTTTTTAAATGATCAGAAACAAGTGGTAAAGCAAACAGTAAGTCAACCAATTTAGTAGAGTACAGGAGGACCATTAGGAATCCACTGCCAGGCCAGAGATTATTAGTTTGAATTGCAAATGAGAAGAGGAGCGAGAGGTGGCCACAGGACGGGATGTGGAGGGGACGAAAGGAGGCTGAGGCCGTTGATGGGATGTACAGGCAGAGGTGACTCACAGGCAGTTGGGTGAGGTCTGCAGAAACGCTAACGTGAACAGAAATACAGTCATCTTTTGTCCCGCCATGAGGGTTAAAGCCATAGGATTGGATGAAGTTGCTGAGGAAAAGTTATGTAGAGAGAAAAGAGACCACTAATGTCAGAAGTGTAAGAAAGAATAAAGACTAAGAAAGTCATTGGATTTGGCAAATGGAGGTCATTGGTGATTTTTAAGAATGCAGTTTCAAAAGAGTTCTGGGGATGGAAGGCACCGAGTTCAGGAGATTGGAAATGAAGGAAGAGGCTATAGGTCGCTTCTTCACTGAGTTTGGTGAAGGGAAAGAAAGGGTGATGTTTTAAAGCTGTCAGGACATTTGTAGGCAGAGGGGAGGAGCTGGTAGGAGGACAGGATTCTAGGAAAAAGGGCTGAGCCAGCACAAGGAGGAAGGACATGTGTTCCCCAAAGACAAGGAGCGGGCAGGCAGGACGCAGACACTGATTTTTGAGCTAGGAAGGAGTGAGGCATGGGAACTGCCTATCAGATGACCTCAGTCACCTCCGTAAAACAGGAGATGCAGCCTTCATCTGAGAGACGTGGGGGCCGTGAGTCTGGGAGCTTGAAGATTGGGGTTTGGAGCAGTTACATGGGAAATGCTCGGAAGGCCATGGTGAGGAATAAAGAAAATCTGATGCTGTGAAGGCGACACAGGTGAAGGAACCGTCATTTGTTGTGGGGCCAGGCATTATAATAATAAGAAAAAGAAAAATGCTGGGAACCTTGGGCAGCTCTGTGTTAGGGAGTGGAGGAAGCAGCGGTGGGTCGTATCCGAGGTGGGCGTCAGAAATGCTAGAACAGGGAAGAGTGAGGAGGGGGAAGCTCGGGGCGTGTGTGCTTTGTGGAACTAGCCGATTGTAAATGATGCCAAAGAGTGTAAGTGAGGCCAAATGGAGGTGGCTTTCTGGGTAGGGAGGGTTGGGGGACTGGAAGTTGTGATGGGGACAGAGGAGGTTCAGTGGGAATGGACAGGGTTGTGGAAGGCAGAGGCTTCAGGTCAGAGAATGGACTTTCATGGTCGAGATCTTGAAAAAGGAATGATTGTAATTAACTGAGCCAGAGTCGCGTTGGTGTGAATTAGAGTTAAGTTTAAAACCTGAAGTCAGTGAGCCAGCAGTTCCGCTCGGAGGTTGGTTGCCGGGGACTAGGGCAAGGGGGAATGGGGAGTGGCTATTGCTGGGTACGGGTTTTTGGGGGGAGGTGGTGAAATAGAATTAGATGGGGGTGCTGGTTGTACAATCTTGCGAATATACTAGAAACCGCTGAACTGTGTACTTTAAAAGGGTGAATTTTACGGCATGTGAATTATATCTCAGTTTTTTCTTAAATCCCTGAAGTTAGTATGGGGAGGAGGCAGGCAGAGGGAATCAGCATGAATGTCAACGTCCCAGAGGACAATGGCAGGGATGGGTGGAGAGGAGGGTTGGGTCACCTGCTCAGCGGTGTTGGGAAAGTGGATGTTTGTTTGAGACTAGCACTGTGGGTTCATCCTTGTGCCAGGTACCCCAGATAGAATGGTGTGTCCTCAGGAAGCCTACAGTCTGGTTGAGCAGAGAGCTAACATCTAAGACGCAGCTTTGAATAATATGAAATGATGAGGTGATGGGGATGATGACAGCAGAAGTGGAGAAGAAAACTGCTCATTAGAGACATTTTGAAAAGGTTGATAGAACAGGGGCCTTTAGTCATCTGAGTGTTTTTTTGTTTTTTTCCCCTTTTTCTTCCCCAAGCCCTAATAGGTAGTTGTATGTCATAGTTGCACATCCTTCTAGTTGCTGTATGTGGTACGCCACCTCAGCATGGCTGGACAAGCGGTGCATCGGTGCGCGCCCAGGATCCAGACCCCGGCCGCCAGTAGCAGAGCGCACGCACTTAACCACTGAGCCATGGGGCCGGCCCCTATCTGAGTGTTAATGTTTGGTCCCCAACATCCGATTGCAGAGCATGCCTCCCTGGAACCTAAGTGGAATTCTCCCTGCTTACCTGCTTCCCTGTCTGAAGTCTGGCCTCCTGGCCTCCGAAGTTTTGCTGTCTCCCAGGGTCACCCTTGGGAGCCGTTAGTGGGAGAGGTTAATTCATTTCTGGGCTTGAATGTCACTTCTGTTGGTTCCAGGTTGGACTGGTGTACATGTTTAACCTCATCGTGGGCACTGGTGCACTCACCATGCCCAAGGCCTTTGCCACCGCTGGGTGGCTTGTCAGCCTGGTCCTGCTGGTGTTCCTGGGCTTCATGAGGTAAGAGGCTGTCATACGGGGCTGGGGGCTGGGAGCAAAGGTGAGGGAGCCTGCCCAGGAAGCCCGACCTCTCTTCCTTAATGTGAGGCAGCGTGCTTGGCAGGCAGGAACATGTCTGTGTGAGTGAGTCTGACCAGGTGGCCCAGAGAGAGGAAGGGAGATACACAGGTATCCAGTGTCTCGTGCTGATGGAGCGGTTGCACAACCCTGATCAGTTAAAAATTAAGACATCCAGTTAGGCTTTGGAATGTTTCACGTGGTGCTCACGTGTTTCCTCCCGGCAGGTTTACCTGCCCTGCTGTATACTTTATTAATGTTACCATGAATTTTTGTTCTCTGAGAAAATACCACCTAGCCACAGAAGAAGAATCTGACAGACATTTAAGGTGATATGGGAAATCAGCTTGGAATTTAGAATTTGCTTAAGATAGTTCACAAAGTAAGTGATAAACGCACAGGTACACATGTAATCAAGTGTTGAGGTCTCGCCTCGCTTTGTGCCTGGCAGCAGGCAGGAGGTCAGTGCCTTCCCGAGCCTTCCCGGGCGCCGTTCCTTGAGCCAGATGTGGGGGACTCACCCACCGGTGCTTCTGCTGGAGGCTCTTCTCCAGGATTCCACATGCAGGTCTGAAGTCAGTTAGCAGACTAGTGATGGATTTAGGACTAAGCATTTCCAGCCCCCTCAACCAGGTAGGAAACTACAGGCTGCAAAAAAGAGATGAGAGGGAACACCTGGAAACACCGCCAGGGGTGTTTCGCACCTCCCCTGCGAGAGGTGCCCCCAACAGTGTGATTAGATCCCAGCCCACACAGACTTCCCTGTCTTTGGTGGAGATGGACAATAAGTAGTGCAGATCATCAATAAGTGGACTGCAGAGTTAGTTAGAAGGTGATGAGTCATATGGAAAAAGACACAAAGTAAGGAGGGTGGGGGTGATCACAGTTTAAGTAGGTGGTCAGTGGTCATGGAGGGCAGCATTTAAGCAGATTGGAAGGAGAAAGGAGTATTTCCTATTGGAAGAATAAAAAAGTTTAGTAGATGAAGCAAATTAAGACCTAGATGAGGCTGAATGGGATAGGAAAACACCCATGTTTTTCAGTTTCTTCACACGTTTTGTTCTGGGGCCAACCTTGGGTACTGTTGGCTCATTACATACTGCAAGCACTGGCAGCCAAGAGCCCTAGAAGTCCTTGTCCTTCTATGACTCTCCTGTCCCCTTTAAAGGACCTTCAGCACAGGCAGCCATCTGAATGGGAAGCGATTATTGGGGGCCCACAGGTACGGGCCGCCACACCCCCTCCTGGCTCAACCCATTTATGTTTGAACATGATCAATGAGTTGGCTTTGTGCAATCATGAGAAGCCTCTTTACGCCTTAATTAAGATTGATTTTAGTTTTACTTCCAAAAGGAAGGGAAAATCTAAAGCCCTTAAAATGGTCAGTTAGGCAGGATAATGAGAAACTTTTCCAGGAGGTGCTGAGGCGACTGGAATGGCAGTGTCGGAGCTGGCTGCCCCCCCACCACCGAGATGGAGTGTATGTGGGTTTTACTCCTGTCCCACCTGCCACCCGGCTGCTGGGCTGAGCAGTCAGCCTGCGGCAGGTGACAGCACTCGGGGAGGGCTCGGGGTCACGTCCTGCGGCAGAGCCGTGCAGGCCTTGAGAAAGAAGGAGGTGAATGTTCCGTCCAGGTTGTTTCAGCAGGGAGAGATTCATTCCTTGGGTTTTATTAGCAGAAAGGCAGCCCTCCCCATACCTTCTGCTTCCAGAAGCATTCGTGCATCCCAGCCGTCGTCTAGGTCTCTCCATTTTCTTTAAGAGGAAAAGAAAAGATGATTTTTCACTCTAGTCTGACTGTCAGCAAATGTCTGATGCCACCTCCCAATCTCTCTTTTGATTCAGGCCATAGAAATACAAGCTTATTTTCCTATTAGCCAGATTATTAGGAAAGTAAAAGTGCTGCCAAAAAAAAAAAAAAAAAAAAAGAGGGAACGGATTCGTAAGCCAAGCATCCTTTTCAATTATCCCTGCCTGTGCCCCTTCCTTCAGTGTGTGTAGCTTGTCTCTCTCCCAGCAAGGAGAGGTGAGAGCTGCCTGCTGCCCTTCCCAGGAGCTTTGGGAGGGCACTTTGTGGATCAGCCTCCTCTTCCCGACCTAGAGCATCAGAGAGTGTCTGTCCCCCACCTCTGCCCACAACCGGCCCCTTCTTGGAGTGCAGTACCACATTGCCCCGACACCTGTCCCCCAGGCTCGTTCTCTCTCCTTCAGCTTATTTCATCAGAAATACATTCTGAATGTCAACAGGGACATCAAGGCAAGCACACAAGGCGTCGTATGCACACACACCCTCTTATCAGGTCAGACCCATCTTGAAAGTTCCCCAGGGAACAGCTCTCAGAAAGAATCTTCGGGCTTGTTGGTCAGGTCTTAAAATGACTTTTCCTTTTACTTTGTGCCTCCTACTGCCTTTGGTAATTAACACGCGGCCTTCCCCTGCAGCTTTGTGACGACCACCTTTGTAGTGGAGGCCATGGCAGCAGCCAACGCTCAGCTCCACTGGAAGAGGATGGAAAATCACCAGGTGTGTGTGTTTCCCTTGTCTCCAGGCAGTGCCCCCGTCCAGTCATGTACCAAGGAGGCAGCCTCAGCAGCCACTGCTTTCCCTCCCAACGCATGGAGGGCTCGTGTCCACAGTGCTATCCCAAGACCCTAGTCCCGGAGCTGAAGCCTGACAGCCACATGAGCTTACAGAACAGATGCAGCCTCTGCTCTTTTAACATTGCATCGTGGTTCTCTCCTGCCCCCCACCTTCAGCTTGCTCATTCATTCTGAACCTCTGTACCCAGGAACTGTGCTGCAGCTTCAGATCTGACATCCAAGTGTATCTGTGCCTTCTAAAGTGACAGTACAGAAGTGTTGAGAGCTTCCTAATAAGAGACCTTCTAGAAAGAAATAAAGGAAACAGGCTCTCCACTGTCCAGACAGTTTCTGTAATTACGTACTCTTCCTTTTTCCCTTGTTTGTTCCCCCTCCTTCTCCGCCTCCCTACCGCCTCCTAGGAGGAGGAAGATGATGACTCCTCCACAGCCTCTGACAGTGATGTTCTCATCCAGGACAACTATGAGCGGGCAGAGAAGCGACCCATCCTGTCTGTGCGTAAGTCTTGGGATTCGGGCTGGCCCGCACTTCCCTCTGGCCCACGGGGTTCCCATTCCTCATGGAGAGGTCCCCAGGGGAGTCTCTCTGCAGAGACCCTCTAGCATTTCCTGCCTGTGGTTGGTATCTAGGAAGGCACCGTGGTAGCATGTAAAGAGCACAGCTTTGGAGCCTGGGGACCCTGCCTCACCTCTGTGGCTCCACCACTTACTAACATCTGCAGCTTGGGCAAGTCACTTAATCTCGGTGCCTGGTGCACGCTGGAGGCTCAAGTCAACGTTGGGTCTCTGACTTCTCTCCTTCCTCCCGTCCCACCACACATGCACCCACACACGTGAGCACACATGCACCCTCACCAGGGATGGCAGTCCCATCCCTGCTCCAGCTGAGCCAGGGCTGAGTGTCCCAGCTTTCTCTCTCACCCCACAATGAGCTTCCCTGGGATCCCTTTTTTTTTTTTTTTTTTTTGTGAGGAAGATCAACCCTGAGCCAACATCCCTGCCAATCCTCCTCTTTTTTGCTGAGGAAGACTGGCCCTGAGCTAATATCCATGCCGATCTTCCCCCACTTCATGTGGGACACCACCACAGCATGGCCTGACCAGTGGTGCGTGGGTGCGTGCCCGGGATCCAAACCCGGGCCGCCAGCAGTAGAGCACGCACACTTAACCCCTACACCACGGGGCCGGCCCCCCTGGGATCCCTTTCTATAGGCTGTTTTAAATGTTTCAAGCAGAAAACATTAGGAAAAGCTTTCTTGAGAGTTTGAAATGCTTGAAAATTTCATTATTCGGGAGAATTCAATGAGCTCAACACCCCCTTCTAGGAACTTTTACAAGTGAAAGAACCACTTCTTCTTCCTTGTCCTTTTGGCTCCACAGAGAGGCGTGGATCTTCGAACCTTTTTGAAATCACAGACCGGGTGGAAATGGGACAGATGGCCTCCATGTTCTTCAGTAAAGGTATCGGTTCTTTCTTGAGGTGGGGCAAGGACAAAGGGAGAGCTGGCTCTTTCCTACAGACCTGGGCACTCGGAATGAGAGTCCCACCTTGACGACTCAGGATGGGGCAGGCAATGTGGAGGAGCACTGTCCGCCTGCTCCCAGTGCATTTGAGAAGCCACCTTGCTGAGAGGCCTGAAGTGCTTCAAGTTGTTTTTTTGGATTCCTCTCCATTCATCATTGTGGGAATAAAGTGGCTACTTAGCTCTTACTAGACATAGAGGTCAAGAATCCTAAGCAGATTTCTGACGAAGGGAGCCGATGGCGTCTGGCTGGTAGTTTTGTACCTCTTGCTTGATTGCCTCTGACTTGTCTTTCTTTTCTTCTGGACTGTTCTGCTGGGACAACACAGAGCAATCACCTTGTGACAGTGGTAGCTACACTGTGCACATGCCTGGGTATGCCTTCCAGGTGACCAGCAGAGGGCGCTAGGGGCCCATTGCTGCCTGGGAATCTGAGCAACTAATTATGACCTTGCCCTCTGCAAGGGACCGCTACAATCTGAAAGGATCCAGCCCAGCTCAGGTGCTGGGTTGTTGGGTGTTCAGCAACAGCATCTTATACCTCCATGGCAAATACTGCTCTTTTAGAAGATGAGCTATTTAAGAGTTTAGTTTTTTAATATCCAATCCTGTCTGTTTCCCCTTCATAGAGAGTCAGACACATCTCAATAAATCCTTCCCCTCGCAGTTATCTTAGAAGATTTTCTGCCCCTTTGTTTGCAGAGGGGGCCATCTCCACCGGTTCTTTGCAGTCTTGACTGTGGCTGCACTGACTTAGAGCCAGGGCGGTGGATTGTAGAAACTAGAGTCTTCTTGACTGCTTTTTGGGACATTAAGCATTCCATTTATCATAGGCGGTGTGATCTGACTGTCCGCATCAAAGGATGCCTGAGGGTCTGGTTCCATCCCCCCACCAGCCTCACAGAGGGTTTTGAGAATTCATCAAAACCAAATTGGTTGTGACCAGCCCGCTTCTGTGCTTTTCCTTTGTTCCATTTCTCTCTCCCCCCATCGCATTAGACTGAGAGAAGAGAGCGGAAGCATTTCCTCCTGGCGGCCGTGCACGGTCTCCTTCCAAATGCAGGCTTTTGAAATAAAACGCACATTGGAGGGACAACATAGACCTTTAAACCTCCTTTCTAATTTTCATGTTTTACACTCTGCCCTGACTTCTTTAAGGATTCTAGGAACTAGTGGTTTTGTTTTGTCTTTTTCCCCCCCACTGACTAGACTCCCGGTTTACCCAAATATGATAGAAAATAAACACATTCGTGTGAGAGCAGCCTCACACTTAGGGGAAGCCTTCTTCTCATCTGCTCCAAGGTTTCTCAAGCTCAGATCATTTTTGTTGTGGGGCCTGTACTGTATACTGGAGGATGCTGAGTAGCATCCTTGGCTTCTACCCACTAGTTGCTAGTAGCACCTCTGAGTCGTGACAACCAAAAATGTCATCAGACATTGCCAAATGTCCCCAGTGAGAGGTAGGAGGCAAAATCGCCCCCAGTTGAAAACCACCACTCTGCTCTATCACAGACTGTCACCTTCACCTTTGGAAGGGCTGCCACCCTCCACAAAAGGCTCCCTTGGGGTCCAGACTCGTTTCTTGTCATTAGAAACGCCAGGGCTAGTCATTGCAGTCCTCTCAGGAAGTCCATTCACCCTCCCACTTTGTGTCTAGTAATGAAATTCCTTGATCAGGGAGGACCAATGGCAGTTTATAAATAGCTGACACCAGTCCATGGACAGGTGGAAGAAAGGTTGGGATGGGGAGAGGACAGTGCCTCCCTGCAGAGAGCAATGGCTCTGAGCAGAAAAACAAACTGGGACACGGGCTGTACTTGGAGCCTGGAGGTGAGTGGCAGGCAGACCCCAGGGGCCACTGGGCTTGGACAGTGAGGATTCCGAGGCCCTCCTGGGTTCTTGCAAGAACCATATTTTCCTGGTCTTTTTCCCCCAGACTCCTAGGAGCAAGCTGACCTCAAATAGCCCTGGAGGAACATGTCCCCAGCTTTCCCCCAGGGACCCTGGAGCCTCCTCTGAGCCACCAGGATTAGAGGAAACTGTCACTTCATTTTTCTTTCTGTTCTCAGAGAAGCCAGCAGCTTGAGACCAGTGATATCAAAAACGAGCAGTCAGTCTCAACAGAAATTAGAGGCTGGCTGTCCGAGACCGTGACCCTGAGGTTGTAGGGTCAGATGCTTTGTTCAGAGCTTTTACACTTGGTCCTTGCAGCTGGACTCACATATGGAATTTAGCACAAGTGGAATTCTTCTCACAGTAAAGGATTGGAGACGCCCAGGGAATTGCCAGGGGCATGAAGTGAGACTGATGTGATTAGAACTAGAGCCTGCCTTCCCGACTCCTAGTTCAGCCCCTCCTGGAGGGAGAGGGGACCAGGGTTTGTCTCTGCACAGGGAGCTTCCACCTTGTGCACCCTCCACGATCAGCATCCTAAAGTGAGCCTGTCCTGAGTGCCCGCTCCTGCCGCTCCCTCTCCCCAGTACACCAGGCTGCCCCCCACCCCACTGGGGGCTGGGTGCTTGGTCAGATTCAGAAAGAGGCACTTGGTCTGTAGAAATCCAGGGCTTTTTACCCTCTTGATTTCAGCGTCAGAAGCTGGGCCGTTTCCTGTTGTCTTCTCTTTGGTTTTCAGTTCCTCAGCAGCAGTCTTTTGTCTTAGAGCCCTGTGTTTGGCTGCGAGGGGGGCTGTGGCCCAGGCGAGCTCTGAGGTTCAGGCTCCTGACTGGGGGCATCTCTCCTCCTTCTCCCCAGGCAGCCTATCCTGAGCTGCTGGGGCATAAAGGTGCCTCGGTTCCTCCGCATCGGTCTGTGCCTCTCACTCACCCTGCACCTTTCTGGATTCAGAGCTTCTCTGCTCCTCCAGGCCTCGCTCAGCCCCTCTCAGGTGACAGTCACAAGCAGATGTGTCTCCTGCCACCGTCACGGTGTAGCCAGTCAGAGCAAGACGCAGGACTTTGGGGTCATTTTCCCACTCTTTTTGGAGAAAGTAGATGGCTTGGAGAACTGAAAGCTATGGGAGAGGCAGAGATTTAGTGGTCCAAAAGAATGTAACTGTCTCCCTATGCCTCCCTGACCGATGACTTCATTCCTTTCAGTGGGGGTCAACTTGTTCTATTTCTGTATCATCATTTACCTGTATGGGGACCTGGCCATCTATGCTGCCGCCGTGCCCTTCTCCCTCATGCAGGTGACCTGGTGAGTGTCCCCCCGATGCTAGCTGTAGCCAGTGGGCTCCTTGGGCAGTCAGGGCAGAAGCACGACACCCAGCAAATCCATCAGCATCTGAAGAACGTAGATGCCGAGGCCCTTGTCTACACGCCTCACAGCCAGCTGTGCATTCTGTCCTTTGGAGATATGCTCCACACTACTGTCCCCTTCCCTGCCCCACAGGGGGATGACTGGGATTCCCACCAGGGGCTCCTGAGTTGCTGGGAGATGGTACGACAGGAACAAGTGGTTCATGCCCTAGAAGACAGGGAAATGTGGTTCATGAAAAGTCAGATTGTTGGACCTACAGCAGCTGTGGGGGGAGTGGAGGTTCTAATTAATAATAAGCTAATAATTAACAGTGTTACATCGTGTCTGCTTCCAGCAGAGCAGGGAGGCCCACACTGAGCCATTGTTCTCTTTATCAGCAGCACCACTGGCAACGACTCCTGTGGTGTGGAGGCCGACACCAGGTACAATGACACTGACCTGTGCTGGGGGCCCCTGCGCCGAGTGGACGCCTACCGCATCTACCTGGTGAGTGGCCTCGCCTCTGCTCCTCCGGCCCGCTCAGCCTGGGGCTGGTCAGGCCCTCCCGGGTGGTCAGGGGCATTTGAACCACCTTTACTTTCTGATAGAACTCCATCCCCAGAGAGGCCAGTCTGCACAGCTCCACACTCTGGCTAATTCCCAGGCCTTGGTTCATGTCACTGAGACTCTAGCCCCAGAGTGTCCTGGTGACCAGGCCTCACTCTCATGTAGCCTGGAGTTGGCATTCAAGACATTGCCAGCTACAGGGCTGTGAACTCTTGTAGACTTAGTTCAGGGTGTGAGGAGCACTCTTATCAAAGCTCTCTAAGAGTGCCAGAGCTAGTTTTCCAGAGACTTTCCATGTTCTGACCTACTCCTGACCAGCCCAGGAGGATATGGGTGGATGCCGGGTTCCTTGACTGGGTAGGCAGGGCTGAGCCATCTTACGGTTGACCCTGACTATAACAGGCTCTCCAGATAGGCAAGGATCAGCCCAGCTCTCTCTCTGTCTTCCCTGCTGCCCGCAGGCAGGGGGAGAAGATGAATCTCCAGGCTCATTTTTGATTGCTCTGTGCCCTGGACAGGAAAAGTTGGGGCTGAGCAACATGCCAGACGGGTCTTGGGTAATAAGCTACAGAACCAGAGGCAGTTATTTATCTCTGCCTGCTTTGCAGGCAGAACTCAGAAACGCTTCCCTTTCCCTTTTGCAGCATCTATTAATATTCTCTGTGTCTTCTTGGTCGTCCTCAGCCCTGACACAGATTTAGGTGTGCTAGGTGACACACAGTTTGACACGTGGCCACTTAGCTGATTGGAGCGGGAGGCAGGGCCGAGAGAGAGCCGAGCCTTTCAGGAGCTGGCCTCTTGACTTAATTATCTCTACCTTGGCAAAGGTTTCTGCCGGCCCTGCCAGCTGTGTTATTTGGGTCTGAATTTGTTAACCCCAAGGGCCACTGAATGGTAGTTTTGCCTTCCCAGTGTCACCCTAGAGACCTACAGAAGGAGTCCTGTGGCTCAGGCCTTGGGAGGTGTCTGTTTTCCTGTGTGCATTTCTGGGTCAGTCGGGTGATCTGTGTGTCTTATCTTGCACTTTCGGCTATGGCTAAGAATTTGTCTTTTGGTAGAATTGTGTCTCAGATCCTCCCCGACAGGTCCAGTGGGAATTTGGTAGCAAGTTAATTTCCTGGCACCCTTCCCCACTTCCCTAGCCTTGGAGGTGGGCAGAGTAGCTGGGCAAGGCAGCCGGGAGAGCCGAGGCCTGTTAGCCTCTTAGCATTTCAACAAACTTTGATTGATAAAATTAGCAAAAGTGTTAGTAAGTGTAAGTCCCACCTGGATCACTAACTGGCATAGACGGGCGGAAGGAGGAGGTGGAGAAGGGGTCCGAGAGGCTCGACACAGACACGGGAGCTTGTCCAGCAGGACAGCAGCAGAACCCCTCAGGTGGTCTTTCCCAGGAAGGCTGCTAGAGTCCATGCGGAATCTGCCTGGCACATTCCCCTGCCCACCAGAAAAATGGGTATGGAACACTGGGAATATTGGCTGCTGCCATTTGCCTGGTAAATTATTTAGAAGCATTATTATTGCCTTGTTAAATTGTTCTTTCACTTATTTCTCTAAACCTTCCACATGATGGAAGCTTCCTTCCCTGAATCTCAATAACTCTCTGACTGAACAGAAGGAACCCTTCAGGAAGGCAGACAGGCATTAATTACTGCCTTCATCTCCCAGATATTACACTTATAACTCATAAAGCTGATTGCCACCAGGCTTGCAAAAGCTACAGGAATGTTAAGGGAAGAGTGAGCAGAAGCAGGGCCTCTTCTCTCTGGTTGTTGACACCCTCCCTCCCCCACCCCAGTCCACTGCTGGGGATTCAGTTTGCTCGGAAGGTTTTTGGTTCAGATGTGCTATTCTTCCTGGTTTGGAGAAATTGAAGGCAGATGGACATTCACATTGTCTCAGAAGTCTCTTTACAACTTTGCATGTGGCTCCAGGTCCGTGGCTTCCACAACATAGTGCTTCCTGACCCTAAACACCAGGTGCTGTCCAGCCCTCTGCAGGCCTCCCCCTCTCAGTGAGCTGGAAGGGGCAGAGTGGCTGGGGGAATGGGTGGGCAGAGATGTGGGTTTCCTTCCTCGGTCCTCAGCTCTCTACTGCAGGTGATAACGGCATCTTCCCCTCCCAAGTCTGACCTGCGGGGCTCACACAAGCCTCTGTCTTCATTCTGTCAAGTGGCCTCTTCAGATCATGGGGAGGAGGGTCGTCCTTTCCCCTTGCCCCCCATGTTCAGAAGATTGTTCATCCCTTCTAGAGGCTCCCTTTCTACACGCTCCCTTCTATGCTCCCTTCTATGCACCTCTTTCTACAAGCTGTTTGATTTTTCTGCCAGCCAGACTTCACCAAAATGTTGGACAAGGCAAGGAGTAGATTTCAAGCACCCTTCCTACCCTGTGCACAGTCATCTCTGTGTCTCAGGTAGACCGTGCACCCGTCGGGCCTGCATGTTTAAAAGGGCCTCCTAATAACCACTTCTTCATTGCTATTCTGGACAGTATGTTCTAGGGGATGAAGGTGCAGGCTTTTATTTTGTGGTTTAATTTTCAGAAAGTCCTCTGGAAATAATCTCTTCTGTGTCTTCCTGGGAATGCTACTGAGATGCACACACAGAATGAGAATATTTGGGATATTAACCATCTCCAGAGGCCAGCCTGTGTGTAGCATTGTGGTGGTTACGTATAAGAAGGCATCCTTCTCTACCAGCAGCTACCACTCGCCTCCCAAAGCCCTTGACCTTAACAAATGGAAAATTCCTCCTCCCCTCCTGCACCCTGTGACCTCCGTCCACATCCTGTGATTGCCTTGTTAAATTGTTCAGATTGCCACTGCAGCTGATATGAGTCAGTTTCTCCCTCTCCTTCCTTGGAGTAGCCGCAGAGCAGGGGGCCCGTGAGTCACATGTGCTTTCCAGCGCGTCCCAGCAAGGCATCGCAGCTGGAGCCAGTAGTGACCTGGGCCCTGTTGTGCAGGCCCGTGAGCGTTAACGTTAGGGTGTGCTTTCAGCAGGCTGTGGATTCTCAGAACCCCACCACCCACCCCTCCTGCTCCTTTGAAGGATCAAATGGGAAAGTGTTAGATGCCCCAACTCTTTCAAACCGGTAACCTTGCCTCCAGGCAGGGGAATATCTTGGGATTCTTTCTGCAGAGCTTCTCCGACTTTGGTAGGAAACAAAGTCAGAATTTAGCATTTCATTCTTTCCTATGCAGTGAGAAGGAGCCAGGGACCACTGGTGAAGTGGTAGGATTGTATGTACAGGAGTTCCGTCCAGGACTCGGCCTGTCCCGAGTGTCTGGGAAGCGGGACGTGTGTTGCTGTCCCTGGAGTCGAGAGCACTGCCGAGCGCTCTTGTTTCACTTCCTCATACCTGCAGTGCTTCCCAGCCTGTCATTCGCACCCCTTGCCCAGGACCCGGCCCTGCCATTGCCGCCTCCTCAGGAGTGTCAGAGGGAAGCCCTGGGAGGACAGTGGGACTCCCTGAGTGCTGAAAGCTTCTCACTGTTCGCAGGAGCGGCATCCGCCACTTACAGGTGGATAGATGCTGCTGGGTCACCGGCAGCCCAGCAGGCACTGGCCGAGCAGAGCCGGCTGCGCAGATGGCAGAGCATAGCTCATCCTGGCTGGAGACTCAGCCATAAACTGGCAGTATTGAGCAGGGGGCTCCTCATGGGCTGCCTTGGGACAGGACAAGGTCACCCTGGGTGGCTTGCCATCCTGCCTTGGACACAGGAGCTGTGAGATCCACCTCAAGGGCACAGGTGACCCAAGAGAGAGATGCAGGCTGCAAGTGCCCTGCAGATGACCTGCCATCCTCTGCCAGATGGAGGGGGCTCTCCCCAGAAGAAGTGGTTCTTCTTCTCTTTGAAGAAGTAGGGTATGTGTTGGGGGCCGCAGGGGGAGTTCTGTCTACCGGACTCCGTTCCTAGAGGAGTAGGTCAATCTGAGATTCGAGCTCAAGTGAACATTAGAAGGGTCCTTCCAAGCCTTCACTGAGAGTCCTGGTTTCTCTTTCTCTGCCAGGAGGCCGTGTTTTTTGGTTCCATCTTGTCTCAGTCTTACACAGCAATACTTGCCTCTATCTGTTTGCCACACTTAAAACAGCGTGCAGTCCCCTTTTTGAAACCAAATGGTTTCTTCCTTAAACAGTACCATTCAAGGGGAAGCCATCCTTTATGTGAGGGGGTGGAAGAGGGCATAGTGCTTCCCCATGGCAGCGCTGTGCTGAGCTCTGACTGCTCCTTCCTGCTGTATTTTTGCCGTGGTGTAGCACGTTACCGGTTATTTTCTCGTTTCTTCTTTGGTCCTCCCAGCCACACAGTAAGGTACATGGCCTCATCCCACCTGACAGCAGAGAAAACGGAGACTTGGAGACTGTGACTGCCCCAGGGTCACAGAGCTGCGGTAGAGACAGGAGCCCGCTCTTCGTGCTCTCCAGCCCTGTGCTCTGGCCCCGGTAACGGTGACGCAGACGTGCTCAGCTTGCAGGGCAGCCCCGCTGCAAGGCCGGACAGGAGGCGGCAGGTCGCGCCTGTCCATCCATCAGCCCTTGGAGCTTGACGTTGGGCGAGGGGGGCGGGGGATCGCTGCCCTAGGCGGGTGTCTGTTCAGTGATCCGTGTGTGCACACCCTGCCCGTCCGCTGGACTGATTTGCTGTCCTTCTTGCCGCCCCTCGCTCCTAGATAGTGAAGCCGACTTCTCCCGGTCACTCAGTAGCTGTGGAATTGAACGCGTCTTCCCAAGGACATTTCCCTTCCCCTGCCATGATCTCTCGCAGTGTTCCTTCAGCATCAGCCACTGTGCCCTGGGGCTGTGGCATCTGCAAATAAGTGGGTCACCGCTACCATCACTTGAATATTTATCCTTACCAATTCTGGGGCAGGAGGTGGGCTAGAGGCCTTCAGGACCAGCAGGGAGGGGAGTTAGTGTGGAGCAACAAGTTCTAGCAGC